AGTGATACGGAATACCATCCATCGCCTTATTGTTTGAATGCCTACAGTGAGTTATTCCTTAGGCTGAAACCAACAACAATACACTTTTCTTCATTCTTTCATGAGTGTGCGTTCACTTGAGACTTTCTAAATTGAATATTAGAATAACTAGTTCAGCAGGGAGTGTCTTTTCGGCGAGTTCATTCACTAAGCTGTATATTCGCAGTAATGTGTAATTATTTATATGTACGTACATTAGGTTTGTCAGACAAGAATAAAATTGGTTGGGGTTGTTGCTTACGTAATCAAAACGTTTCACCTACAGAGTCAGAAGAAGCCTCCCGAAAAAAGTAGGCTTCCGTACACTTTGCATTGCCCAGACCTCAGCGATCCGGACATAAATCCCTGAATTACGTACAGAGAAGAAACTTCTCTACACACCTTAACATGGGTATAATTTCAAGTCCCACCGTAACGATAGAAGACAAGGGCCAGACAACAGATCATTTATTTAGAAAATCAAGAGATATAGATTTTTTTTGTACATTATTATTCGTTATCGTTAGCAGAGAAACAACATCTTCTGACTAGTTGTTTTCTTGCAGAAGGTTATTCTGTACCATTTGTGACCGTTTCTGAAAATGTTAAGCCATATATCTGCGAATCGTATTTGTACACGTTAAGTCTGCTCTGATTAGTTGGTGAGTTCCTCGAAGTTAAGCTTTGTTATTGTTTTTTCTCATGATCTTGATTCAGGACGTAAACATTGACTTGAACTGTTGTCTACAATTTTGGGCTTGCAGACAGCTCTTACCACACTACAACTTTGGTAATAAGGCTGTTTTTTAATGTTTGTATGGCATTTTTTATTCCTTTACGTTCCCAATGGAACATAGTGCTTCAGACTAGAGTACTAAACTTTCAGTGGCAGTGGTGTAGGATGGGGTTGCTAGTCTTATGCCCAACCTTCCCTCTTCATCATTCTTATTACTGACGAAGTAAAGGAATGCATTGGTTGGGATTGAACCCCAAAACATCTGCATGTTTAGCGAGCATTCTACTGCTGTACCACCAGCACACTGTATGACATCTTAGAAACATCTTTTTTCTTCCTCAACCCTTTATTTACTCTTTCCACCTATTATATAATTTATTTTGAACACTTGTCTCTAAGCTCCTTCATTCATATTACGTTACCCTTGTCAATAGTTACTCATCTTCACCATCCCTCATCACACTTCGACTATTTATCACATGTTTTGAAACATTTTGACGACGTAAACAACAATCTGGACTAATTTTTAGTCTTCTTTGACAAACCTAATGTACATACACACAGATAATTACACATTATTGAAATTTTACAGTGAAGTAAATGAATTCGCCGAAAAGGCACTCTTTCTGAATTGAATCTAAATCATTCATTCCTATTCTAGCAGCTTTCTTTCATCAATGCACTTGAACAACTTTGTTGTAATGTGAAACATTTCTTCCAATATAACTTATGAGATTGGATATATTCATGGTAAATTAAAAGAGATATTTCAGACTATTTCGGGCATTTTAGTGGCTTCACTTTACTTTTATTATTTTTTTAAAACAAGTAGGAAATATTAAAGTGGAAGGTAAGTGTCCAAAAAAAGTCAGTAATATTGTCGTATTCTTCTTATGACAAACTAATTTAGGTTAGTTTAAACATAGTAGCTGGCTAAGTTTGTGCTAGTCTGCACATTAAAGCACAACTGGTAAGCCTTTTCTATAAGTAATCATTGAAATAAACTGTTGTCCGCAAACTGGACCACAGGTCATCTCACTGATATTTTTCGAAATCATAGCCAACTGATGGGTAAAAACATATGGCTACTGTATTGAAATGGTCCGCTGAAATAGTCCTACCAGCAACAACACCAGTTGATTTTACCCCTTCAAAAAATCTACCCTCTTCTGTCTTGTCTTTTGTGCCCTTATTGTTGATGAAACAGCAATCGAGTTATCATTGTTCATGAAAACGATTTGAAACATTCTCAATGTTCAACAGTTGTACCCCAGGTTATGTGGGAAACATGATTCTATCGGACTGTTTAGTACTGTTCTGTAGTCGGGATACATTTAGGTGTTTTGTGGAGGGGTGTTGTAGTAACCTGATGTCAGCTAGTAGAATCCTGACAATCATTCAATGTTCGATAGTTTGGTTTGTAAATGTTAATTTTGTTTTTACGAGCTGATCACCGATCGGTATCAATTAGAGAACCATTGAAAACCAGGGGAGTACTGGACAGCTGCTGTTTCATCCTAGTTTGGGAATCATCGGCAGTACGCACACTCTGTGGTTAGAACCCAGGACGAAGTTTTAATCCTCGCAGGTTTCCAAACTTTCAAATAGACTTTCAATCAGTGAAAAAATATTTATTATTTAGCATTTTTCAGAACAAATTGGATTCTTAAAAGGTGTAGTTCAGCAATCATTCATAACGCATAGTTTCTCAACCCTTCAACTGAGAGTTCCTGATTAAAATATTGCGTTTTGCATCGCAAAGCCAACTGGATGTGACCATCAGTATAGTTTGCTATTTCAAGTTGATAAGTTGTCATGAGCAGTTTGTTTCCGCCTCACTAGTCACCGATGCATATAAGCATTCAGATCATAATATGTGATTTGCCTGATACAATAAATGACTAGTTAACAGCGAGCTCAATCCTAAAACAGTTAGACTGAAGAGTTTAAATGACTTTGTCCTGGCTAAAAAAACACTGTTGGATACCTAAAATATGTCGAATAGGGAAATAAAAGCTCCAAAAATCTTTTTCGGTTAAGCCATTCAAAATATAACTGTACAGATGGGAAAATAGTGTTATTTACAGCCTTTATTTGAAAAGATTATAGAAATGGTGAGACAGTAATATTTTTTTCGAAACAGTTTACATAAAGAAATCTAATGTATCAGCAATTAGTCTATTTCCACTTCGAAATATTATGCATTATAATGCTGTGCAAAGAATAACTATCGTCTTCAATATTTGATTGATTCATAAACTCAATTAAATACATAGATAAACCTCTCAGTACAATGTTACTTATGCTGTATAACTATCATTAAAGTGTAGAATGTAGAAGCACTGAAAACCAGGTGGTACTAGACAGCTGTTTCGTCCCGATTTGAGATTGTTCATCAGGACACACTGATGATCCCACCAACTGTCGAACTTAAGGCCTTCAGGTTTCCAGGTGAGTGTATGGACCATCTGGCCACTATTCATATATATTAGATTACTACCATATCAATATTTTCTCCGGACGAAGTAACAATCACTACATAAACTCCATTAGCCAACATCTAAGTTTACTCATTCAGGTAGAAAATGGGATTCGGAGTGTAAAGATTTCAAAATATTTTATAAAAAACAAGTATTCATTTGTTTTTAAATATGCATACATATCTCTTTCTATAAGTTGTAATGCTGACCTCATTTTATTGACTGGGTCTTTTAGTATTCATAGGAGGTTGGGGGGCTGGCTGCTAAATTACACGTCAGACTGTTGTTTTATATATAAAGCCAGCTATTTGTAATCTCTTGACCTATGTTCAGCGCCTCAAAACAGTTTTCTATTTATACTTCCTTTGGTTTCCGAGTGTAACACAAGGCTTGAGCAGTACATCTCGATTATACCCTCTTTTCTGCAGTCCATCTTGGCCAACTTGACGACCGCTCGTAGGCTTTATCTTCCTTCTCATACAATCTCTACCATGTCACGCCCATGTACCCAACTTGTCGTTTCTCTTTCGGTGGGTCTAGCACGAGATGTCACTCAACAGTCTACTCAGAATTTATCTGATCAACCTCCATTTCTTTCCGTATATTTGTTGAGCAGAAGGTTCTTGGTTAGTTCCTCGCCTAAATTTCTCGTTGCTAATCCATTCTGGCCGCTTAACCGTCAGTTTGAAGCTAACCTTAGATGAAGCTGAAAGAAATACAGAATTCAGGTGACTAATACCAACTGAAGGTTTTATTTCGTCTTTTCAGTATTCTGTTATAAGAGCTTCCCCTAGATGAGTACTCAAAGCTCCAACGAAGTTAAGTCACCTTGTCTTTTTCTTCATAATACATAAGATGTCTACTAAAATCGACTAAGTGAATATAAAAAAATGAAATAAATATAAGACCTCCACCTATATATGGTCTTACATCATCAACAAAAACAACAACAGACAGCCCAAAGTTGCCGACGATAAAACTTGTTATTTAATCACTTAAATTCCATGGAGGATTTCATCATGAGCTGATGTCAGTTAGAGAACCATTGGAAAACCTGGGAGTACTGGACAGCTGTTTCGTACTAGTTTGGGACTCTTCACCAGTACACACCCAACACCAGGGTTCGAACCCAGGTTACAAGGCGACAGACCTCGTAGACCATTGAGCAACTGAGACCTGATCCAATGTTCCTTGAATTCTAACTTCTGCCAATTCACGACATAGTGCGACCATTTCGCAATGTCTTCTTCTATGAGTTATCGCCTCATCTTCAAACTGCTGTACCCTACTGGTCACGGCTTCCTACGTCCTGGGTTGGACCAATGTCGGTGGGTGCGTACTGTGAAGAGTCCTAAACTAGGACGAAACAGCTGGCCAGTACTCCCACGTTTTCCAGTTGTTCTCTAACTGATGTCAGCTCATGATGAAATCCTCCATACAATCAAAAAAATCCCTACTTAACCAATACCTGAGAATAATCATTTAAAGTTTGGAAATAGTAGAAGATGATGTGTTTTTTAACAGCGAATACACTAAAATTTCACTTGAAATCCTGTCTACAGTACAAATTTCAGGCGACAAATGAAAATTTCTGACTATATTTTCATTTTAAACAAACATCTCTTTGCAGTAAACGATTCACTAATCCCTATGCACTATACCTTATTCCTCATAGGTTGTTCGCTCAAAATCAACTGAATTGTCAGCCTATGGCAGGAATATTTATACGGCCAATTAGAATTAAGTTACTTCTGCCTGGTGATTTTAGTCAAGTTATCAACTTTTGTTTTTGTTTAATATTTTAATAATTTCATGAAAATTCCAAGTTGTCAAATATAAATTAAAAATATAATGTAAAAAAGGAATGACAGTTTTGTGTAAACTTTCTGCATATTGGCGATAAAAATCATACATCAACCGACTAGTATGGATAGTGTAACACAGTAGATTTGAAAATATGACAACAGAAATAAATCAGGCTACTGAAGAAAGTAATGAAATTTCCTATTCCAAGAATCCTACATCCAGTCCTTCTTCTTCTTCAGCTCCTTCAGCAGCATGTAATGAATTCAAAGAAAACGTTGTCCCATTGGTTAGATTAGTAAGTTGTATTTTGGTGATTATCCAAACTTCTTATCGTAAGTATATGTGCGTATATGTGTATAAATACCCTTCTTTATTTACTTTGGCTGCTGACTCTCATGAACCAAGTATTCAAATTATATATATATATATATATATATATATATTTATGAATGCGACATTCCTGAAAGTTGTCATTGCCAGTGATTAATGAACCCAATCAACGTGTTGAATTCTTTCTTTACGTCACAGTGCAAGAGGAACACTGATAGTGAAAAATAATGTGATCTTAGTTTATCCTAATACTGAAATACGTGCACGGGGATACATAAGTAAATGATCCCACCCCCTTCCCGTAAGTTTACTACCATGGATACTCAATTTCCCAATATATTAGATAAAACAGTGAAAGGTAACAACATGAAGTATCATGTTCAAATAGTGACTTTATACAATAAATGTGAAACGTAAGCTCCTGACTGAAGATGACAAAGTTAACGACGTTTAGTACTAAGACATAATGCAGACATTTTCTTGACATAATTATAATCTTTCAAACAGCCAGTTCCCTTTATTAGTCTGAATAAAGAAAGAACGAACATTTCTGCAAGATAATGTGGACTCGTTGTATTTCCTGGATTCTCCTCAGTGGCGTGCATCCTGAACAAACCAACTATATGTTGCAAAATTTCTAAACATACTTTTAACAGTGATTTTAATCAATAGATAGAAAGTATAGGCAACATAATTTCAAAGATGATGTAGGTATACGATTATTTAGTGTTAAAAGAGTAACTTTTTATATAGCAATTAGACATAGGGGTGGAATCCAGATTTCTCTTGGAAATAAGGATGGACCAGAGATGAACAACAGAGTTAATTTATACATCTTATAGTAGAGTATTCAGAAGGGTGGGAGGTGAATACTAAAGTAAAATTACAAAATAGATAAAATGATTTAATTTAGTAGATTTTGAACCTTAATAGTAGGTTCAACTCAGTGAATAAAAATAAGGATTAACCGCAGTGTTATGCAACAGAACAGAACACAAATGTATATGAATAAAAACAATTTTGGTTTCCAGGCTAGTGAGACATAGGTCACATTATCTTTCTGCATGCATAGGTTAGGTCGAATTTTTTTTGATAGCAATGGCTTTCGCGAACCGAAGTAAACATGATTTCCTTTGTGTACTGAGTATTTTGAAAGCCTGACTAATTTCCACAGTATGTCTCGTATCAGTTAGGCGTCTGGCAATCACACATGGGAATACTTTGCTGTGTTTCACATAGAGACTTTAAGGGATATGCTTGGAAAACCTAGTAGACGATCTCCTCTCAATCCATCCTATGTACTTGTAGTCGCAAGTGCAGCTGATTCCGCTCCGCTTTTTTAGATGTACACCAAAACACATAGATTATTGACAAGACCATAGTCTTACAAGAACTCTGATGACATCGAAAATCCGTTTTTATGAACAATCCCCACGTCGATTTAAAAGACTTTTGACTGCTTAACGTTATACTGAGTACCAAGCAGTTTACTGGTATATTTATTGACCTCGTAGGTGCTGACAAGAGGATTGTTTGGATCGTTTGAGATTTTATCAAATGTGAGTTTATTTTCCTGCGCACTCAGTACTATTAAATGGAAACTTCTTAATGAAACAGATGTAAGGAAAACAATAAATACTGAAATTCAGTCTTAGCATACGTAACATTATACATACTTAGTTACATTTCTGTACAACACACGACTTCGAATTTCTTTCAACCAACTAGTCACAAGATTTATAGCCAAGTACTCCAACACTGGGCTCCATGTTTTGAGAAGATGGGAAGAAAAATAATAACTACTCCAAATCAAGAGGAATATTTTAAAAACTATAGTTATTTAAATAATTAACTGACATAATTCAGTGATTTGCTAGTTTAACGCATATAGACTTGGTTCTAACTGATTAACGATGTATCAGTAAAAAAGGGTTGACACAGGTTTTGATCTAGGTTAAGGATGGATGTTTAGTCCACAGATGACACTGACATTCAGTTTACCCTGACATTTTTTTTCGTTTGTACATATTTTGACGTTTTTCAATAAATAGATCGCTGTTTTGCTAAATTAAGCAAATGTGCCTAATTGACTTTGATAACTGTGCAACCCCAATCAGCAACTTTCTATGATTATAAAATCTGAGAGTGGCGAAGTCCTACGCTTATGGCTTTTCTTAAGTTGTAATCTGTGTTAAATATATCCTAAGTAATGTAAGTTTATTAAAATTTTCTTTCGAGGGAATATATTAGTGACAGTTACCTATACATCAGTTTCAATATTAATATCTACGTCAATTTTACTGGGTTTTTTTGCCCAATAATGCCATTCAGTGGTTTTAAAATAATAAGAAAGAAATATTCATTCTTCGAAGTTATCAGCAAGTACATATTTCTACAACAAAATCCCTTAACAGTAGAAGAAAAATGATAAATGTCATTAGAAAAAGGAAATATCCCAGTTAGCTCGCACTGATCAATAGAAGAAAGGGTATAACGTCTATTTTTGCACAATATTTTGCAAGTGATATAGCCTAACAGTACAGTGACTGCACATTTTACGAAATCTAAGGCTCCAGTTAAGAGAAAAAAATTATTCTTCATAGCATAAAAATTGGATGAGTCTGTTAAAATTTCCATACTGTTTTATGTTATAAACACTTCACACAATTGTGGTTTTGTACTTTACAATTCAGTTATGCTCTTCTTAAGTATACAGTATTTGCGGTTTCCTGGTTATCTCACATCGGAAAGTTACTTCATTAAGTTACACATGCCTTTCATTGTCCTACTACGAAAAATTTTTAGCGTATAATTCAACCCCATCAAAATCATCCACCTGAGCTACAAATCTCCTGCCTCATATCCAGCACAAACCTTCACGTTTATTTTATAAAATTGTATTCATCACCTGATATAGATGTCCACTTGTATTAGATGAGGTTAATAAAATCTCCGGAAACAATAAAACTGATTCAGAGTGACCAGAAGAGACGGATAATAAACTCGTGATGAATTCTAAAAGATTTCTTCCTATTTAAGTCCTCACCAAAGATGTGGTCTGAAAACACAAAGAAAACTCCGTAATTTGTCAGTCAAGCTTAGAAAATACAACTTCATACATGTTATCTTTTTCATCATGTCCATATTTATCTGTTTCTCTATCAATGTATCTTGCAACAATAATCATATAAGGCATCAGAATGCAAATTAACGCACTGAGTTTTTCAATACTTGGTCTTTAAGGAGTAAATTTGCTTTTGTGAGTTGATCCCGGATTGAAAACCAGAGAGTACTAGACAGGATGAAAGAGCTATCCACTACTCCCTGGTTTTCAAAGCAGTGAAGTCTGTCATCCCAGAAACAGGCGTTAGTTCAAAAAAGTAAGTTTATCATATAGTCTGATATATCATCACCTATAAGGATTATTGACTGAAATCCATCTGTTTCTTAAATATTTACTATAACTATTCTTTGACATTTCATAGTCGTCAAGTATAGATCGATAGGAGATAGACAACAAAACACTGATCGTGAAAGATCTTCTTATATTGTAGATTGAAAAAAATATATTTAAATCGTCTTCCTTCCCTCTCTTAACCCATTTATAAACTGATGGTTTGAACTACATGACACTATATACTACTGTTTGATTGAGATGAGTAGTTTTATATCATTTACGCTAACTAACACTGCTGTCTAGCCAGAATGAAGTGATCTAAACACCAGACGACCGTTTAGCTCATTTGGAGCAGAGGTAATCTGTGGTGCACTCGGTTTGACTAGGCTCAGAGAATGGAATCAGTAGTGTACTAATACGCCGTACTACATTGATACAAATTGTATAAAGTAAATATGAGTATTGCACATTACGTGTTCGTCATTCAACTTAGAATAGACTAGGCTTTACTCATTGAATTATGAATCCATCCGTTATGTTTGTTAGAAAATGACGATTTTCAAACTAATCAAATAATATTCTTTATCAAATCTGTGAATAAAGTATTTCATATTTTAAATTTCATACTCTCAGATCAAACGTTTATTCAAATATTTTATGGTCTCTTTTTCAATAATAATGAGAACTGCGTCTGATGAGAATAATAATATACTACGCTCTGTAGCAGTATTACGTCTATCTGCTTAACGGACATCTACACTTAGTACTGTTGAAGTGATAAACACTCTCCAACGGTCAGTATTTGATGAAAATTCTAGACTTTACGCAGTCAACAAATACATATAAGTTTTTTGATTGCACACTAGTCAGTAACTAGTGTAGTGTGTCTAGTCCTTGCTTCCTGCCGATTGCCTCCAACCATCTAATACCAACAATCCCCAGTGCACCGTTATAGCGAGTCACCTAGCATGGTGGCCACATTGCAAGCTTCACTGATAGAATTCAGTCTGCAGTGAAGACAGGACTAGACACATTACACTAGTTACTGACTAGTATGCAAAAAAATATCCAATACAGTCCTACAGGAGCTCAATCGCGAGCCTGAATAGCTCATTGGTAACGTCTTTGACTGAAGTACTGGGTGACACGGGTTCGAATCTCAGAAGGGAAATGAGTTCCTTCAAGGTTGCAGATACGCCTTGCTGACTGGTGAGTGCCAACTAGCACGAAACCTAGGTCCAAGGCTTCCTACCGACTGCCTCTAACCATCTAATACATATAAGTTTTATTAATTTTAAACACCAGAAAGTGAAAAATAATTGAATCAAAGCTTTTAAATATTCTGATTAATAATCATGTTTAACAACTAAAACTGTATTCGTTTTTGACGAAAAGTAAGCAATTCACTCATGCTAATTAACTGTAAGTCTCTATAAAGATAGAGTTGGTCACCAGATAAGAATGAAAGGGTACTTGGTTTTTATAGATTAACATATATTCAAATGTACTCACTTGCTACAGCCTACTGAGTTAATTGCAATCGGTGTTTGATAGCCAGTCATTATTTTATTGGATATTTAGACGTGCATTGATTGTAGATATAGCGTTATTTAGTGTTATCTCGTTTCGATTCTATTTATAGCTGATATAGGTGTGTGATTAATCCCATTGTACAAACAAATTATCTCACATCAGAAAAATTACCTGAAACTTAATATTAGTCAAAAGCTTTCGCTTCTTTAAACCAATTCACAGCTGTGTGCAGACTCAGTAATATTGTCAAGTGTTAATTTACAGTAATATGACTGGTTACAGGATTGACCATGAGGTGACATAAGTTAGAGAACCACGAGAGTACTAGAATTCTACTGAGAAGTCGTACCCAGCGCAGTTCACCAAGTCGGGCAAGAGGGCAGTTACTCGCCCATGACACTGGCTTCCGGTTGCTCAAAGTATACATCACAAATTGGCGTGCGTTGGAATTCTTGGACCATTGGGTCCGGACCAGATGGCTTAATGTTCTACAAGCTCGTCTCATAACGGGAAGGTTCTAGTGTTTAACTTTGGCGGTGGTTTTGTGCTGATGAACAGTCCTAAACCAGGAGCAAACAGTCGTCCAGTACTTCTGCGTCTTACGATGATTCTCTATTTGATGTCAGCTGGTCATCAATCCTGTAGTCAATAATATTATTTTGAATAAAATAACCAAATTTAGTACGATCTCCCTATTATATAAATTAACTCCAAACAGTAGATCAAGGTGCAGATATATACAAGCCGCCCTGTTAACCTTTCCGGTTGCTTCTCTTAGTATTTGTTATTTAATTATCTTTCAGTTAAAAACAAGTCAAATGAAAGCTCGGACCAGTCTGCCTACTTGCAATAATAATTCATACAGTTTCCCTAATAATCATAAAATCACTTATTTTGGTTACTATAATTACTGAATTAGCCAATTTACCGCTCAAAGTGAGTACAAACGTTTTAGCAGTAGAGATTTAGTAAGTTTATCGTGTATAAAATCAATATCAGCTTATCAGTTATTCCATTAAAATGTTCACTTTTTCTACCGTAATGATATAATATCACTGTTAGATGGCACACACCATTAAACTGAATAAATCCTAGACGGTTATGGAAATTGGTAAGAAGCCCTGGGTCTCATATTCAAATGTGCCGTGAAGATTCTTTAAAAAAAATACCAGTGTATTTTTTATATCTTTCACTCCAATTTGTAACTGTTAATCTACTGTAAGCCATAAATAACACCTCAAGATGTGTTATACAAAACAAAATCGCACATCAACTCTGTCATTTTTTTACCGAATAAATTTGTTTTTCAATGAACCATATGTTATCAGAGCAAAGTGGATCTCACTTCATGATAAACATGCATGACTGCCTGCACAAATTGAATTAAAATCATAGTTTAAGAAAATATTCTAACTTCTCCCTTAGTTGACTGAAGGTAATTGGCAGGGAGCGCTTGATTTACGTTCCTCACCTACTAGCACTCATCACCAGCTCGAACTAGCAACTGTATGAGATTAAACCTTGAGCTACCAGTTACTGCAGTCATAGAGATTACTACTCAGATGTTCTTCATTGTAGTGCTGCAGGAGGTGTTACCCAGAGTGGCAGTCTAGTTTGTGACAAATTACATTACATAGTCCACTAAACATCCATGATAACCATTTTCACTATTAAAAAATCAGCAGTTTTACCGTTCATTGCTTTCTGATTTAAAAAACAGCCATTTGTTTGCTAACATAAGTATTTTGGATAAGAAAGGTACCTCAAGTAGTTTACCGATAAGCTAATCGAATGGCAATCAGACGGTTCGATTTTACACTAGTATTTGCTCCTTCACCCAAACTGTCTCCTAAATGGACTGAACGACATTACCATTTTTAATTTATTAGTTCTAAACTTTTTCTTAACATGTTGCTTAAAAGCGATGCAAATCATAATAAAATTTGCATCATCAACTGTTTTTATTCAGAACTAAATAAAACACTAGTCGAACAATAATTGAGGCTTACAAGTGCAACGTATCGTTTGTATCATGCATACACTGATGTCAAGCTTAGACAGTACAGTTTTCCCATTCCTTTGCGGTTTGTGATCATAGTGGCATTCACCATTGGTCAATTGTCCAACAAATGGAATGGTTTAAAACCCAACTGTGAGAAGATAACATTTTTACCGTAAGTTATGCACTTAACTTTTCCAGGAAATGTCTGACATACTTCCTCTCCGAATACCACTTATTAATTTACCGAAGACATTATGGATTACCATAATGAAAAAACTTAGTTCCACAGAAGTGCGGCTAATTCAACCTCATAGAGAGTGTTTAAAACCTCGTCTTTATTTATCAACCAACTAAAAGGATCCTTCTCAAATTCATGAGGTCTTCAGATCAACGTATATCACAAATGCAAATATCACAACAAAAATAAAGTTGACATCATGAAATTACCAACAAAATAAAAATGACTATTTAGCTGACTGTATTAAATAATGTATTACTTAAGTGTAACCCTGAAAACTTGACTTTAAAAACCACTCCATGTAATCAGAAAGAGACGCTTGCGGGCCCTTGTACTAACTTCGTGAATAAAATTTACAAAATAAAGTTGTGTAATTTGTATTCTCTCATATATTCTGTTCTATTAAGTAAATTTTATTCTTTCATCTGAAGGTCCCTCGCCTTACTCCTTTTCTACCACTTTATAAAAACATATTTTCTGCAGCTACACAACCTATTTTACTGATATACACTTTCTAGTGAAACTCTAGTCTATCCCTAAACTTTGGACTCTGACTTATATTATCCCAGACTTCTGATATCTATAGTTCCTATGAATCACTCTCTGTTTTCATTATAAAAACTGCATTCAAATCTATTTTGTAATTCATACTTTTGTGCCTTTTAGACTGTAGCCAGCTGAGAAGAATTCGTCAAAAATTAAGGAAATGAGATGGCGCATTAATCGTTTTCGCTCTGTTCAAGTCTTGATTATTGCTTAAATGTAAGTAAGCTATGTGGTCAATAAGAAGACTGAATAAAATTGACAAGATAGTCGGAGTTTTAGTCAACTTAAAATCAGTTGAAGTATAGCTGTAGAGCTATGATTTCTCTATCTGAATTACTGGAGTTTAAAAATGCAAAAGAGGCGAAATCATATTATCTTTAGCAGGTTGCTCTTTACTTCGTAGGTTACTATGAAGGAATAGTTTGTTAAGAAAGAATGCCTAGTAGTATTGAGCCACTGCTATCTTTTCAACTATTCTGTTTTGAAATCTTACATAGTCACATTTTCTCTCTTTTCTGATTGCACACTGATCAAAAATCATTCATCAAATTATTTGTCTCATCACATAGTTCTAATGACTTTGCTCAACTTCTCTTATGTATTGATTAATGTCGGCCAACTATAGTTATAACAGCTCATAACTTCTGTAAGCATCTTCTTTTGTGAAAAAAATGGAATTGTACAAATAAAAATGTGAATTCACCGAAAAGGGCCTATTCGCTGAATTATTTTTGTTTTTTAAGTCCACTTTGTACTCGTATCCCAATGCAGTTTCTGATTTAATTTTAATCTGTCTTTACTAACTGCTGTATCCTATCATTAACGGAATTATAACTTTAGAGCCAGTTGAATAAGTTATTGAAGACAACTATTTGCCTTAACTGTTCATGTTGTGAATTAAATAATCACTCAGTTTATTGTATTCGTCGATAAGTACTACTTTTAATAGCGAAAAACATTTGGCAAGTAGTTTCTTGAATGTTATAACGAAATCAGATGATGAAAATATTGACCTTTATCATCAACACTGAAAAAATATAATTGAGACTTTATTTATATCTTTACTACTGAGAAAATCAGTAATAATAGGGTACTCTATACAGACTGGCTACTGAAAGAAAACATGTTTTTTTGTTGTAAGTACACTGTCTACATCAAAATCATCCACATGAGCTACGACTCTTCTCTACTATTTCAGAAAACAGATGTGTTTAAATTTCAGTATCTAGTAAAGATACGAACTGGTATCACTATAAAATTTGAAAGTTACTGGTAAAAATAAATTTTCCGCTATCAAGCATACTTCCCGATTTTCTTTCTTCGATCAAAATAATAATGACTGATGATAATTTTCAAATAGACTCATAATGATTCACAAAATGAAAACTCTAGTTAACAGATTTACCTAAGGCAATATTCACAAAGCAGTATACAATCGAATATCAATACAAATAATGTTCACATAAAATAGCGAAGGACATCAACAAGATTAGCTTAACTACCTACCCAGAAGGCAAATTTTTAACTCAGTATTGTCATTTTCTTTTAAACATAACGATTCTTAAACCTCGAAAAATGTTCATTTGACATAAAGCACATTGATGTAATATTAATTGCTCGATGGAGTGTTGAGCTCAGTTTATTGCTCATGATTATATTTGTGTGTTAATACTTCCTAACTTGTTTCATATACTGCCTCTTCATTCTTTTTTTAATACATTTGGGATTTAACAAGATCTAGAGTAATGAGTCTTTCTTGGTTATGTGATGTGCAAAACAATTCAAAAATCACTATACTTGCAGCTGAATGAAATGAAATAACATAGCTGAACAGGACTAAATTATCGAAAAACAGTGCAGTTTGGTGGAGAGACGTTAATCACTGAATCTAATGTTGATCGAATCACGCAATATAAAAAATGAACAATTCTGTTAAAACCCAAGGAGTAAAACCATATGAAGCGAGTTTTATTCACGACTCGCAGTTATTCCATTACGTTTACCTAGGGATAATTATATACCTTGATAAGGCTTACCTAAATTTAGCTCTCCCACTGTCATTAAGTATAACAGTATACATCACAGCCATACAAAGCATATCGAGATACTATGAGATTAAATATGCTTAGTAGTTATACTTAAATAAGACTATGGCTTTTCGGAAATGAAATCACTGAATGCCACAGTCGTCTTTTATTTTTTAACACAATTCAAACTTAATTACTTCCGGTAGTTTTAATCATACCAAGATGATGCTAATCATATTCTTATACCTGTTCATTTTATAGGTAGCACCCAACACCAAATATATTTCTTCCCTGACCATAAGTATATACTTTGTATGAGACACATTTACCTAGAAGATAGTTTATTTGAATCCATATGGTATAGAAACAGTTTTTTAATGTTACTAAAAGTTTGACTTCAGTTCATGCATTGCAGTCTACAGCGCATACGAGGACTAGATGACTTCGAAATATGTTACGAATGATATCAACTATGGTAGTGAAACAGAAATACTTTTACCAGTAGAGCAGCACCATTGTCTCATGACTATTGAAGTTAAGATTTGTCTACAGGCAATGAAAAGTTAACCATATGAAGGTTAGTCATTCCCAAGGGATTAAAACCTAATTTTGTTGCGGGGAAAGTTATATGTTTACATTTTTGAAAATACATCACGATATTAAAATGCGATTTTGTTTAATTAAAACTATTTCACATTATCTTATCAATAACTTTATATGTTACTGCCTTGACTCCATACTTAAAAGGTGACTCAATCCGTCAACAGTTAGATAAGTTTAGCCTAATAAATTGTGCTTCAATCTCTCTGCTTATCATACGAACAATGTAAATGAACAAGCGAATAAAACATCATAAATAAGTTTGTATACCGCCCCTTTAATGTAACAACTAGTAATTGTTGTTTGAAGAAATAATACTTTGGATAGATTTCAGGCTGATTTCTGTAGTCCTTAATTTTCAAGTAAAAGCAGTTACATGATAAATAAGCTATTGATTTTTTCCGGTTTTATTGATGAGTATTTGCAACTATGTTAATTTGCAAATAATTAATTAAACCTATTCATAATACATGATTAGAATATCTAGGTGGTGAATTTACTGTTTTGTACATCTATAGATTTAATGAGTCTATGACATTAAATATAGGTAAAACA